ACAGGTTCTTATGTAAAGGGGTCTAAATGGGAAATTTTAGCCTAACATGTTCTTAAAATCTATGTTCTTATACGCGGGTTTTTACTGTAGTAGAAATTAAACTGATCCAGAGAGACATGATACAAGATTGCGTGGAACAGCTTTGCTGTTGATCCTAAGCGCTTCGCGCGGATGAGACGCGCGATATTGAGAATCGGTGAGAATCATTGACGGGGGAGTATAATGAATACCCGGATGTCGTGAAGTACCCGGCTGTACAGTTATGAACGGTGGATTGGCGCTGGCATCGTCAGGTTCGCCGCACTTGTCAGCTTGCAGCTCGTCAGCAGGCAGTGTGACCGTGTCTCACGCTTATGCATTATGAAACTGTTGTTAGCTTAGATATTTATAATACTTTGCTAGATCGGGCAGCGGAGACGTACATGCCGCATCTGCTTTGATTTACAGTCCGATTAGTCAAGCTTATTTACAGGTGGTACTGTAGTAACTGATCGTTCAAATTCTTTGTGTTTCAATCTCAGCGAATCGCTTCATTTATTTACATTCGAAATCGGTGAGTAAACACCCATGCAATGGGCCATTGCTTACAGCTTAGATACAATAATGTAACCCAAACCCAAGAGGATAGGGTTTTGGGTTTGGGTACAACCTATCCTCTTGGGTTTGGGTTACATTATTGTATCTACTTACAGCTATACTATTACTAATGACATTACTAGTAATAGTATTACTGGGTAAGATGTACTATTAATATTATATTATATATAGTAGGTACAATAATGATTAATGCAACCCGACGCAGAGTATGTCCGTAGATGATACACAGAAATCTGGGCATCACTTCGTGATGCCTAAGGTGCCTAAAGTGGATTTGCACCCTGGTGCAAATCCACTTTAGGCACCTTAGGTATCACGAAGTGATGCACAGATTTCTGTGTATCATCAAGTGATGCACAGAATTTCCGTATATCCAGATGAGACGGGATACTAGAGAAGCGTTGCCGAAAGGAGGTGTTGACCCGAAGTGCTGAGCGCAGATCTTGCGCGCAGTTCCGCGGCA